ACACATAAATGTATGATCTTTATACCATGTTAGCAACATACTACACAGATAGCTTTTCCAAGTAGCTTTAAAATATAGTATTTGGACTGTACATTCTTAGGGCAATATAATCCCAGGATGAAAAGAACTGCAAAGAAATGTTACTTTCAAACTTCAGTGATTTTATTGTTAGTAGTAATATTAGTATAACTGTCTTGAAACAATTTCATGTGTATTGTAGGATAAAACAGGTAACTTCTGTGAATTTTAAAAACCAGGATCTTTCATGTAAGAGAAAAAAATACAAATATAAAAATCAAAGTGAAGTAATTCCTGTGTGTTAAATTTGAAATGGAATTAATTCGTTATATTTGTTGTTCTTCAGAGTACTCATTTCTTAGCTCTGTCCCTGACAAGGCTTCGAAGCAGCACCAGGCCGGAGTAAAAAGCACCCTGAACACCCAGATACCGCTTCCCATAAAAACAGCTAATCCCAGTCTTGGGGCAGGAATTTTTCAGTATATGCATAAGACATTCTTACTATGCCAGAAAGCAACAAAGGTATTGATGTTTCTGTGGTCATATTAAAAACAAGAACAGCATAAAGGGATTCCTACTGGTTAAAGACAGGACAATTTAGCATCAAAAAGAATCATGACTGTAGTTGGTTGAAACAAATTAAATATATAAAAATCCATGCACTAATTATGATAATTAAGAGAATCTTAAATGAGAGAAAAGAAAGCTAAAAAAAAACCATACAAATCTTAATAGTTACCTTGAAGGTAGCTAGCTAGTATGCCAACCTCTTACTCTGAAGTTTGGTACTCGAGGAAGAAGAATTATGCATTCATCCTTCCTGACCTATTTTACTTGTGTTTTAGGATAACTAAACAGCCTTGACTGACAACAGAAAAATTTCATGTAATAAATGCTGCAAGAATAAAAAAATTAGAACATCACAATTTTACAGCCCCTAATAAAATAATTGATTCAAATACAACTGCCAGTGAATGCTACAGAAAGTGCCGTGGCTCTCAGAGGGCGGCCTCCCCTCCAGCATCTCAGCATCAACTGGACATGTCTGAGAAATATATACATTCTTGGGCCTTCCCAACACCTACTGTGTCAGAAACTCCGGATGTGGGTCCGAGTAATCTACTTCAACAAGCTCGCTAAGTGTTCTGATGTACACTGGAGCTCGAGAACCATGATACTAAGAGAAAGAATGGTGAGAAACTTTAATTGAAGGATCAAGCTATCACTCCCCAGAACTCATTTGTCAATCTTAATACTCCTAAAAGTGGGAGGACCAGATGTCAGATTTCTCTCAAGTAGATGCACCTATGATACTTTCTTTCTACCCTCCAAAATAATTAAGCATGCATCTATTCTGTTCTTTATACTTGATCCAAATTATAGGAAATAAAGAAGAGTACGTTAAACAATATCATGATGAAGCAAAGGACAAATCCAGAATGTGGGAAGACTGACCCAGTTTCTTCACACAGTCAATAGCATGGGAAAATAGAGGAAAGAGGGTGGAGTGTTCCAGAATAAAAGAACTCCAAAGACAAAATGAGCAAATACAAAGCATACATATTGTTTGGATTTTGATTTGAATATGCCAGCTGGGGAGATTTGAATTTATTATATTGATGTATTGAGTTATATTAGATGATATTAAGGAATTGTTAATTTTGTTAGGTATGATAGTGGTATTGTGGTTACATAAGAAAATGTCATTTTTTTTTTTTTTTGAGATACATACAAAAGTAGAGTGAAACAAAATGATGCCAAGATTTTCTTTGGGTCACTACAAAAAAGAAGAGGGTAAAATAAATGAAGCAAATGTTGATACTCATAAGTCTGGAGGATTCATTATACTATTTACATTTTGTTTGCGTGTTTGAAATTTTCATAATAAAAGTTAAGACATCTGCAGAAATATTAAGATATATTTATTCCTGTACTAGCCTTTATCACAGTATATTGCGAATGCTGGTTTACTCATCTATATGACTACTTCTCAAATTCTCAATATTGAAATACCCATTTTTTAAAATTTCTAGTCTATCATAGACCATGATTTTTGTAAAATACAATAAAAATCAATTACCATAAAAGGAAAATAGGGGGGAAGATATACAAAATATAACCTTAAAAGCTTTGTTATTAAAATCAACAAACATACAATTACATCTCACTTAGCAGTTAAAACAAATGTAAACATTGGGAAAAAAAATTTTTTTACCTGCATCCAGTCATCAAAGATACGCGTGTAGGCTATCAGTATAGAGAATTGCTTTTGCACTCATAAGTTTATTTTGTAACCATAATTAAGTGAAGTTTTTGATGTGGATCACAAGTGTGATTTTTGTACGTTACGTGGAGAAGCTTGGACTGGTAACATGCCTACCCGGAGGATGCTGTCGTATCCCTAAATTGATGTTATTTGCAGCGACAAGTTTCTGCCTCTGCTACTTCTATTACTGATTTCTCAGCAGATGATACAGTTTTCAGGGATGCCTACACTGTGGAAATCATAGAGAATGGGGGAAAATATCACAGATATGCTGGAATACTTGCTTGCCAAGATTTTTGCTTAATAAGTGAAAATGCCAACTCTTTATGTAGTCGGTCTCAGTCTCTAGAAGGTAGTTATTGTCATTTTTCTCACAGTGTGTGGTATATTTATTGACACATGATGACTGTGGCTTTGCATGGTAATTTTAGGTTCCCATATTCCAAGCCTTTGTTTTTCAGACCATACCCTTCCTGCCAGGCTTCAAAACTTTTCTTCCACCCTGGCTGTGGTAGTACCAGTTTAGATTGATGGCCTCAAAATAAGAGTCAATTACTGTAGATTCCTATTGTGCTTCCCTGGACTTGTTTTGTAGGCAGTAGTTTGCGTTCTTTCTCCATATCTATTAGCTTGTACTTACTCACATTGGAACTAACTTCTGTGTTGCCCAAATCTCAAAAATCTTTCCCATTGACCAGCACTGACTCAGCATTCTCAACAGAAATTAATTTTGTCCATCTGGAGAAGTCGTTTATGGAAAAATTGTCTCATTTAGAGATACAGTTTAAGTAGCATTTGGTGTGGGATCTTAGGCAAAACATTGCTAACTAGCCAGGAGATCAGCCCTTCAGAAAACATGTTGCTTGCCCCTCAGTAAGTATTGTCCAAGGGTCCAGCCCTTTACTGTGGGTTTCCCAGCTCATCCAGTACAGAAATGAGGCTCTGGTTTACTGTTACAAATAGAAAGTATATTGTCCACTTGCCAGTTTACTTAGATATAGTTGTTCGGATGACAGGTTTAGACATTTTAACTGAAAATTCTACATGTTTAATCTTACATAATCATTTTTTCACTTCAGAATTATGGGTGACTACTGTCGGACCTCTGTAATGGCAAAGGGAAGATGTGAAGGCTGATCATCTTGATGTGTGATAATAGCAGTTAGAGAATATAAAAACATCTGCTTACATTAAAGCCTGTGATGTGTAGAGTACAGTCCTGATGCTCCACATTTTTATCACACTGCTGATGGAAAGGTTCATGATACCATCCATGATAAAACCTGAATCGGCTATGTATTTAATAAGTACTGTACCTGTGATGTTTTGTGAATAGTGCTTAAGCAGTGTGGGGAGTACAGAAGAGAGTGATATGGCCCTATTCTCAGAAAGCTTCAGTGAAGGTATCTTTTATGTTCTAAAAAACAGTATATTAGAGTTAGGGCTGTGTATGTGTATGTCTATCTGTATACACCCAAGCATGCACTCACACTGGGATATATATATATGCAGACAATTACAGTGTGAGATTGTGTTGTAAGGGATAAGAAATTCAGAGAGAAGAGATTATTTCTACTTAAAGTGGTGAGGGACTCATTAGGGGCAGGGTTTTAAAAGGACAGTTAGGATTTCAGTGGGAGTCTGGTAAAGAAGCTTGTTATAGTACAAAGAAAAAAGTCAGTCAAAGGTTCTAGTTGCAGAGCAGCTGTTCTCTTATCAATTGTACAAATTCAGCCAGATTACTTAATCCTTGTAATCTTCAACTTCCTCATCTATAGAATGGAAATTAGAGTAAAGGTTTTCTTAGAGGGTTTTTAGGAAGATTAAGTGAGATACGGGGATATGAACATGCTCTTTAAGCTGTAATGTGCTGTACAAATGTTAGTAAATTTTATAATAAGTTTTGAGGATGGCATGAGACAAAGGCATAGAATTGGAAAACAAACCACATGGCATTGAGCAAAAAGTATATGAAGGTCACTGTGAGTACTGATTCACCCATACAATTCCTCACTTGGTAAAATAATCTTAAATGGAAAAACTTTTCAAGATCACGTTGACTCCCCTGCTCCCTCAAAAGATAATTCCAGAGGCCTTTCAGATTTTGAGGTGAAACCTGAAGGAGTCACAGTGTTTAGTTTTATTGAATTCATGTAAACATACACAGAATTAATTTCCAGAGAAACTGCCTTAGTAGAAATTATAACATTGCACAAAGATAGCTGATGTATCTTACAAAATATATTTGTTTAGAGGACAAAGCTATCATGACAGTGTTTGGTTTAGAGAGCAAGTCTACCGGTTCTTGGATGGAACAGAATTGCTCCATTTAACAGGAGAACAGGGTCTGAGCTATGGAAGCCACTTGCAGGACCCACCATATCTCATGTTACAGGTGACTTGTATAATAAGCATGAGATGACTGTTTAAAAGAAATATATTGTTTGTCTGATGGGATGTCAGAGAATAGATGTATGTTCTGTGTTTTATATAAATTGTATTATTTAAATGTGGTTAGGAAAAGTATTCAGTGAATTTTTTAACACAAGAACAGAGGGCAGGCTTAGGCATTAAAAAGTTTTTTGAAGAAAGAAAATCCTGAATACTCATAGTGGGTTTTTTTGTTTGTTTTTGTCTTGGGGGTGGGGGTGGGGTAGTTAGTTGTGTTGGTGGCAGTCGTAGTGGTGAATAATCTAAATTCTCTCTTCTTTTACAGACTACCTTGCTAATCATGGCCGGTTAAATGAATCTGAGGCCAGACGCAAATTCTGGCAAATCCTGTCTGCTGTTGATTACTGTCACAGTCGGAAGATTGTACACCGTGACCTCAAGGCTGAAAATCTCCTGCTGGATAGCAACATGAATATCAAAATAGCAGGTAACTGGGACACAGCCACGTCTACCATGAGCAGGTGTGAGCCACTGCACCCGGTATGCAGAAACAGACCTGCAGGCAGATGCAGAAGCATTTCTCCCAATGACATTAAGCTTTTGCAAAGTGTATTTTATACATTTTCTCATTTCTGTGTGTAATGATAAGTGAGGAACTAATATTATTTCCTTATTATTAATACACTATTCATTAATTTCACTCATTATTAATACATAGGGGTCTGATGTGCATCCTCAGTCTGATTTGTTGCAGCACTCTGCTGGACGAGGTACACTTGGCTAAGTGTGAGAGTGACTGGCGGCTCGCAGGCCTAGAGGAGCAGTGTAAGCTGCTGGCCCTTGTCCCTGCTCTCATTACAGCTGGTAGCTGCAGTTACAGAAGACAAAGGAGGTGAGGGAAGTAGATGAGAAACACTGGGTTCACAGGTGCCTCGCCTCGCCTCACTCTCACACAGTAAGGCTTTGAGTTATAACCTGGAAGTGAAGGGTAGAGATTGTTTTGCTAGTTTTCCTCCTACCCTTTTCACAGTTGTAAAAGCTTTTATATTTTATATTCCAACTATCTTTATCCACGAGGTCAAAACTCTAATTTGTTGAGTAAATACTTATGTACCAGGTATTGTGCTACACTAGGTACAGGGATACAAATTAAAAAGTCGTTTCCTCTTGTCTTAATCATTGAGTGGGAAGATAAGAATAATTAAAATATAATATGATAGTTTCCCAAAAATATATGTATAAATGCAGCAGGAATATAGGTGAAAGAAAACAGTCTACCTGAGAAGTCAGGGAAGCTTCCCAGAGAAGGAACTATTTGAACTTAGACTTGAGAGATGAGTTAGACGCTTGCCAGGAAGGCAAACAGAAGTAGGATATTGCAAACAGGCAGGCAAACTGTGTAAATACCACAGGTGTAAGAGAGAAGGAGATTGAAATTGGAACAGTGGAGAACTATAGCTCAATATTTCTTAAATGTAAAATTCCAGACATAGGGGATTGTTACAGAGCAGCAGGTAGATGCAGACCAGAATGTAAAGGGTCTTGAATGCCGTGCAAAGAATTTATTCTTCAGGCAATCTGGAGTGTAACCTATTAAAAACTTTAGGGTGGGGATGGGATGAGGTGGGACGGGGGTAACATGATTGGATTTGCGGGTTAGAAAGATGTCTCTCTATGGCAGCAAAGACAGGTGGTAGATGTGGGCAGAGCAGACAGGAAGGTTGATGAGGAATCAAACGCAGTAGTCCAGGCAGGACAATGTGGGTCCAAACTAGAGCAGCAGGAGAGGCTGTAGGTGTGGGGCGGAGGGGGACTTTATTTTCGTTAGGGCTTCGAGGAAGACAAAGGGGCAGGAAGCAGAAGCTTAGCGATGTTGGAAGTGGTTTTATCCTAGGGTTGTTCTAAAGAGGAACAGAGAGACCTCCAGATGAGAGGAGCTGACCAGGAAACTAGGGTGGGTGCTCACTGGATATCCTAAGTTTAAGGAGAAGTCAACTGCCTTGGTTTGCTGGACTGTGGTGTAAAACAGAACTTAAAAGCCTCTGATGTGTGCATTTAACTGGCTTATTCTATGCCATTTCTTATTTTTGCCTTGGGCATTTGGGAGAAGGCAAATAATTTTTACCCAACTTACTTTAACTTTTACTCATTTTAATTTTAATAATGATTTTAAATACCAATGTTACATATGTTTCAGGGAGGGAATGGATTTCATTCCATAGTCTGTGATTTTTTTCCGAAAGGGATTGCCTGAAAACGTGTTCATTTGTTACATTCCCATTATATATGTAAAGATTTGTTACTTTTGCTGTGAAATGCAGTCCACACAATTAGTGCCTCCTTAGTTTCTTACCTGTGTTACTTTTTTCCTTTTTCTTTTGACCCTGCCCACTGGTCTCATTCATTTCACTATTTTGACCAATCTGTAGTGCACTTCACTGGAATTTTCTGTTTACTTCTCCTTGACAGCTTCAGCCTCTCTAAGACTGCCCTCTTCAGAGAAGGCTATTATTTCCTAACTCTGTAGAAAAAAGGGGGAAACCTTGGCTTTGCCTTTACATTTCTTTACCTTTTCACCAAAACGGAAAACTCACAAAACAATACCTCAGAGGAGGTGTTTTTAGGCAGAGATGTCTTTTTAGTCTTCTCCCAGAGAAGTCTGGGAGTCTTTTTAGGCAGAGAAAGGTTAGCAGTGTGAGTCATATGCCAGAGGAATTACAAAGTGCTCTGTCACTGACATCGCAAAAGAACATGCAGAATAGAACACCGAAGAAACTTGCAAATGAAATATACGAACCATGCCCTGAAGGGTGTAGCCAAGTTTTGCTTGACTCATGTGTCTCCTGCTATTCTGACTTACAGTCTAGGTAGGTAAACTGAGTATTTTTAATGTCTTTATCTGATATCTAGTCTTTTATTTGTTTTTGCTGTTTTTATTTTTGTTTTTGAATATCTAAGCTTCGGGACCTTCTAATTTTTATCCAGAAGACAGGCAAACTGTCAGCACCCTGATGCTGTCCTCCGGTCAAGCCAGTGTAACAGCTGACATTCACTGAGCTGCCACAGTTTGGGTTCTCTTCTGGGCGCTTTTACCGCTTGACCTTCACAGTGCCCTGTGAGCCAGTTGTTAGGTGGTCACTCTGAGACATAAAGAGATTGAATCCCCTGCTAAGGTGACTCAGAGAGTGAGTGGTGGAGCCAGAAGGCAGAGTTCTTCTCCCTGACCACGGAATCTGTGCTTCCCCCACTACACCGCGTCGTAGTTTTTGGGCATTGTTGGTCAGTTATTCCTCGAGGGGGACTCACTGACTGAATTCTGGGCGCCATCATTCTGTATTTATAGATGTAGTGTGCCTGATTGCATATCTCCCAGGTGGGTACATGTGCACTGGCACACAGTCTACCCAAGCACTCAAATATCTTCTTGCCCACATTTTTTCTCTGTTATCCTCACCACCATTTACCTGAAATTTTAGTAAATGTTTGTTAAGCATCTATTATACTCGTGAGCTGAGTTCTTGAGATTCAGATATTTCAAAAAGAACAACAATGCAAAAAGCTCCACTCTGCTCTCACCTCAAGGAGTTAATCCAGAACCAGAACTTTAAGTAAATAAAACCGGAAAAGATAGTTGTTGTAAAGGCCGTGAAGCGAGGAGAGACTGACTCTGCCTGGAAGAATCAGGGAAATCATTAGCTAATACATGACTAAACAGAAAGCATTTGTGCTGGGATAGGGGAGAGGAGGAAAGGGGGTTGGGGAGAGAGTGTGTTGGGTGGGGAGGCAGGGATGTCAGCTCAAGCAGACGGGGGCCGGGAGGCAGTGGCCAAAGGACTCAGAGCGTGTCAGATGACTGCAGAGCAGAACTAGTGGAACCCAAGTGCCAGTGAGGAATGACAGGCAAGGAGCCTGGACAGGTAGGCAGAGCCAGACCATGTAGAACTCCACATGCCATCGAAAGTGTGTGTCTGTCCAACTCTGTGGGAGAATTTCTCCAGGGTATTTAGTTTGATCCATAGATTTCATAACTTTTTTTATGACTCTACTTCTCCTTAAAAACATCACATTGTGATCTCTGAGGATCCTTCTTGATTTTACAGGACTCTTAACCCATGTAAGGAAGATAGGGCTCCATGGAAAAATTGTAAGAACCCAGAATAAATACAAAATTATTCCCTCAAATTATACTTTCTTTATCTATTGTATTTCTGAAGATTTTTAATGCTGATTGGGCTAAATCAGTGAACTTGTTTAGCCATCTTGTATGTTGAAATTTACACCAAAACTAGGTGTAAATTAAAATATTTGTCCCTGTTTGTAAGACAGAAAATGCACTAGAAGTATCAGACTTGGTTCATTTTAATAAATACATAAACAAGGCTTTGAAATCAGCTTCTAATTTATGCTCCTCCAGTGGGTAAAGACTTCAGACATTTATGAGCCATGGATTCACCTACACCCGTGTGTGTTCAATTTTTCAATTATGAGACCTCCGTAAATTGCAAAATACAAGTGTTAGGACATTGAGAGTAAGAGACAGAATACGAGGGCTTTCATTAGTTTTACTAATTGCGGTACTGTTTCCTCCCAGCTATTTTGGCTATGACTCACGCAGGCATTAAGTTGAGAATAAATAAGGGAAAGGCATTTAGTTTTATTCTTCTACTTTCCTAATCTGAAATGTTTATAATAAATATATAGATAAGGATAAAAAGGTATGAATTACTTAGGAAGTTTTCAGAAAGTATCAGAATTCAAACAAGGCTTCATGTGAAGAGACTGAAGCTTGATATAGACAGGACTGGTGTAAATTCTGGCTGTACTACTTAGTAGCTGTGTGAACTTGGGCTGGTTATTTAATGTCACTGAGCCCAGGGTTCCATATCTAATAAACAGAGATTAATCTGCTTCTCAACACTGTGGTAGGGGTTCGTGTAGTGTTAGAGACAGGGAGGGTAGCGGGTAAAATGATGGGCTCTAGAGCCGGGGTACCTGGGTTGGAACCCTGGCTCTACCACTTACTAGCTGCATGACCTTGAACACATTCCCTAACTACTCTGTCCACAGTTTCCTTATCTGTAAAGAGGGAATAATAGAAGTTCATATCTCATAATGGTTATTCCTCAATATTTGCAAAGTACTTAGGATAGTGCCTGATACATAGTTCATGCTATTTTAACTGTTTGTTAAATAAATTGTTAAAGTTCCTGGCACCATGTAAACATTCAATAAAAGGTCACTATTATTTGTATTCAATGTGTAATTGATTCAATGTGAAAACAAATCCTGATCCCTTGATAGCTGTATGACTGCCCCTCACCAAGTTTTGTTTTGTTTTGTTTTAATTACCAAGACCTCAAAGCCTCACTAATACAAATCCCAGAGGAACAGAGAAAGTTTGTCATTTATATTCTAAATTGTCTCTGTTTGATGGAAATTATTTTTTTTCTGAGAGGGTCCTTAAATGTAATTAGTAATGTGTAATGA